CAGTTCGGTTAGTCTCCCTCTGCTTCTTCTAGCACACAGCCACTGCAGACAGCAAATATGGACGCTCCACGGGATATAGCCATTACTGAGCCTGGTTCCTCTCAGCAGCACAGGGACTTCCTTGCCTCTGCCACTTTTACACCCACCGTGGCGAGGTTCTGCTCAGAGGAAGGCCAGGGCACTACACTGTCACAAGACTTGTGTGACATGATTGCCCAAACTATTACCAGGGGCATTGGTGCTGCTCTTCTGCAACGGGGTTTTTCAGCCCCTCTGCCACCAACAGACCCAAATCCAAGGACCACTCCTCCAGTGGGCCAGGTGGATAGGGAGTACATTCTAGACTCTCGTTCACCTTCACTTTTGCAACAAAGTGACATGTCTTTTCATGGTGACGAAGAGGAGATGCTGGATTACAATTTTTCTGAGGATGAAAGGGTCATTCCTGATAAGCCTCCTGTTATGAGTCTGTTTTATCACGACCTATTTAAAACACTATTGTACAAGGCTAAGACTACAGCCAATATTGGGGCACTTATTGGGCAACCTGGGGGATCCTCGGACCCTCAAGATCCCATGGCTTTTGTTTTTACTGAGCCTGTGACTGAGCAAGAGGCGGTTCCATCTCCTAAACTCTTTATCGATGTCATACAACGGCAGTGGAATCAGCCAGGATCCATTTCTGCTCCTTGTGGAGGAACAAGAACTTGAGGATCTCCTCAAACTTCCAACCGTTGATGTTCCGATGGCCAGCCTAACATCCTTCCTTCCAATTTAGCTGAGGGCCTGAAACTGGAAGATGGAAGGGCAGAGCTTGCTGCTTGTAAGACCCATCAAGCAGCCGCCTGGGGCATTTGTTCTGCCACAGCGGTGTCCTCCTTCTCTCATATTTCTTTAATTTGGCTATGTCAAATGCAATGTCCCATGGCCCACCAAGCAGCCGCCTAGGGCATTTGTTTTGCCACAGCGGTGTCCTCCTTTTCTCATATTTCTTTAATTTGGCTATGTCAAATGCAATCCCAGGCATCACCTGAGGACACCCATTTGCATCAGGACTTGAATAAATTAATCGCTGCAGCTGAATATTCAGCAGATGCTACCCTCATCTCTGCTAAGTTTGCTTCTCAAGCCTTAGCATCCAGTGTCACCTCCAGATGCCTCTTATGGCTAAGGCACTGGCAGGCAGACATGAAACAAAATGGTGTCTAACAGCGGCTCCTTTCAAGGGTGGCTCCCTCTTCAGGGATGCCTTGGATCCCATCTTGGTGGAGGGTAAAGATAAAAGGAAAGTCCTCCCTCACGTATCCTGTTGAGCGGACAGACGATTGGGGTATCCTTACTGCGGGCAGTCCTTTCGTGCATCTGATACAGGTTTTCAAAGCCTGGCTTACCAAAGGACTTTCCTACCAACCACAGACAGGCCACAGGACAGGCCTTCCTTTTGGGATCGTTCCAGACAGCCACAGAATAGACACCCCTTTTGGGGAGCTGGCTATCGACCATACTGTCGGTCCAAATGACTGTCCTGACAAAGCCCCTATAAGCGATCGCCTGGGCAGATTTGCAACCTGTTGGTGACACATGACCACCAACGCCTGGACGTTACAGACCATAACGCTAGGTCTCACCCTAGAGTTCAGTTCCAGACCACCTCGACAGTTCATCCAATGCTCCGTCTCTCTGGACACCACCAAAAGGTCTCTGATGGAAGCTGAAATCCAGCGTCTGCTGGCCATTCAGGACATAGAACCTGTACCTCTTCAACATCAGGGGTCCGGCTTCTATTCGATACTCTTTCTGGTGCAAAAGACAGTGGGCAGCTGCAGGGCCATTCTAGACCTAAAGGAGCTGAATGTTCATATCAAATACAAACACTTCAAAATGCAACCCTGCACACAATTCTGGGCTGCATAAAACAGGGAGATCTTTTGACATCTATAGATCTCCGAGAAGCTTATCTGCACATGCCTATCAGACCATCCCACAGGAGATTCCTCAGGTTCTCCTATACAGCACTGCACTACCAATACAAAGCTCTGCCCTTCAGACTTTTGTCCGCCCCCAGCGTATTCACAAAACTTCAGGATGTGGTGGCGGCTCACTTGCGGATGAAGCCCATACATTCGTTATATTATCTGGATGACATTTTAGTTCTGTCTTTGTCTCCTCAACTGGCAAGTCTAGATCTCCAGACCACGGTTCAAACCCTCCAAGACTACAGGTTTACGGTGAATGACCCGTAAACCTGTAGAGTCACATGACCCCCTCCACCAACCTGGTCCATCTGGGACCACAGATCGACACTCAGGCCAGCCTTGTCTTCCTCTCCCAGGAGCGTTGTTCCAGCATCCACATCACCATAAGGCAAGTCAGAACCCTCAGATGGGTTCCCTTGATGCTTCTTTCCCAATTGTTAGGCAAGATGATATCCTTGCCTCTGTAGATTGTTCCTTGGGTGAGATTGCATTCCTGACCTCTTCAATGATTCCTATTACCAAGTCAATGTGCGGGCCTTAGCAACTCCCTCAAATAGATAAGAGTTCTTTTCAAGGTACTCAGATCCTTGGAGGGGTGGACGTCAACAGCCCTGGAACAGGGCTGTTCCTTCAAGGAGCATACCCACCTGACCCTTACCACAGACGCCAGTCTTTTTGGATGAGGCGCTCACCTGCAATTCCGAGTGACCCAGGGTCGGTGGTCTCCACATGACCTCCTCATGGATATCAACTGGCTGGAACTGAGAGCCGCTCATCTGGTGCTTCGCCATTTCCAGCATCATTTGTCAGGGCAACATGTGCTGTTACTCACGGACAATGTCACAGTCAAAGCACATGTGAACGTCAGGGGGGCATCCGATCCAGTGTGCTGGTGCGAGAGGCTGTGGCAATAGGTCTCTGGGCGGAGAGACACTTGTCCTCCCTGCGGGCAGAGCACATCTCTGGGTCCTCCAACATCCAAGTGGATTGGTTGAGCAGAAAGACCATCAATCAGGCAGAATGGAAACTTCATCCAGATCTGTTCTGTCAGCTCTCAACCAGATTCAGTCCATCTCAGGTAGATCTTTTTGCCAGCCCAGAGAATGCACAACTTCCTTGGTTCTACACCAGATTCCGAACACCAGAGGCTGAAGGAATGGACGCCCTCTGTTGTCCATGGCCCCAAGGCCTGTTGTACGTGTTTTCCGCGATGCCTCTAATACCGAGGGTCATCAGGAAGATCATTGAGAAAGGCACAGAGGTTCTTCTCATCGCTCCTCACTGGCCAAGACAGAACTGGTTTGCGGATCTATTGACCCTATCAATATCACCTCCCTGGAGGATTGCTCCAGACAGGATCTCCCTCAGCCAGGGGGCTGCACTCAATCCGGACCCTTAATGTTGCAATGGCCATCTGGCCCTTGAGAGGGAGATCCTGAAAAGGGACCATTTTTCAAAAAAGGTAATCTCTACCATCCTTGCTTCTCGACATCCGTCAACAACCCACATATACAATGCTACGTGGACCTCCTTTTGCCACTGGTATACCAGACATGTACTGATTCCAACCTCGGCATCTGTACCAGAGGTATTGGACTTCCTGCAGGAAGGGTTAGAGGCAAGACTAACATTAATACATTCCACAGACAAGTAGCCGCCTTAGCAACTATTCTGTCCTGTGAGGGAGCTTCCGCCCTCTCTCATCATCTGAGAATCCGCAGCTTTCTAAAAGGGGCTTCCAATCTACAACCTCCACCTGTTCACAGATAACCTTCTTGGGATCTCTCCCTTGTTTTACAGGCCCTTATTTCCTCTCCATTTGAGCCATTGAGTTCTGCCAGTCTCAGGCTTTTGACCTTTAAAGTTGCTTTTCTCATCGCCATCACTTCTGCTCAAAGAATCTCGGAACTGGCGGCTCTCTCAGTACGGAAGGACTTGTTTATTATACATCCTGACAGAATCATCCGCACCAAAAGTCAACTCCTGGTTCCACAGGGCCCAGGAGGTCATCTTACCGGATTTTTGCCCAAAGCCTAAACATCCTAGATAACGTTGCTGGCACACCCTAGATGTATACAGGGCTCTGTGCATATACATCACCAGGATGGCACCCTTCCGAAAAATAGAGGCGTTTGTCTCCTTTCAGCCCAGGTCCCAGGGCATGAAGGTGTCTCCATCCACCAAGATGGTTGGCTCAAGGCTTGTATTTCTCTGGCTTACAACCATCAGGCCTTACCTATTCTGGCCCGCATCACGGCCCACTCTACTAGAAGTGCAGCCACAACAGCGGCTTGGTCCACTCAAGCTTCAATACTGGAGATTTGCAGGGCTGCCACCTGGGCGTCGCCTTCTCCCTTCATTCCAAACTATAAACTTGACATGTTTGCCTCGGTAGAGGCTGCCTTTGGGAGACGGGTCTTTCAGCAGGTTCTTCCAGTCGACAGGACCTTGGAAGGTTCTACTCCCCACCCTAGAGGAGTAGAACCTTCCCCACTTAGCTTGGGCATATCCCATTGCTTTGGACTCTCTAAGCAGCGCACAGCAGAAGGAACATTGTACTTACCTGAACGTTCTTTCTATGTGCATTGCATGAGAGTCCAATCCCTCCCTACTTTTCTAACAGGGATCCAGGGTCCAGGAGAGTATGTTTTTTTCTATCTTTACAGGCTACTTCTTCTCCACATCCAGATCATTGTTAACAAACTGGAGCAAAGCAGGAAGGAGAAGGCATGTTAAACAAATTACAACTCAGCCTCTGACCAATCACCCATTGCTTTGGACTCTCACACAGCGGACATAGAAAGAATGTTCAGGTAAATACAATGTTCCTTCATAATAAATGTTCCAGTTTATAATTCATATTTGGGATTTCTTGGTGGTTTACACCCAAGAAATAACCAGATCTAACTTTTCAATTCAAGATTGGCTTAATTAGTATAAGAGTTGTGATTTAGCTGGATATTTATCCTTGTAACTTTGGGGGAACGCTAGCAAATTTTTAAAGTATTTCCTCTTTTTCTTTAGGCCTGTGCCCATCGTTGGAAAAATGTCTACTATGAAACTGAGTACATCCTTCCTCATGGTTTTTGCAACATCATCCCTCCCAACCTTGGATTGATTGGTAAAAAATTAATGCCTTGCTATGAAGGTAAGAGGGCATATTTATTTTTCCTTATCTGTGCTAGTACTTGTGATGGATTTCCTTGTTACATTCCTCCTATTAATTATAGTTGTGGCAGTAAGTGCATTTTGAATGCTGTCTTTATCCTGTAAATTAAATTATGACTTAACTATAGTACTACTGTCCTGATGCAATATAAAAATAGAGGACAACTTTAGTTTACTCATGCTTTCCAGATACGTTGGGACTGTAATCTGGAGGCATTGGGATGGGGAAGGCTGATACTGAGATAGTTTTGGTAGTTGTTTTGAATTCTACAGGCTGTGAAGCAAGTCCCTGCCCTCTGAATGAAGAACTATGAACTAAACAGCAGCAGGCTTTTTCAGTTGTGTCTGAAATCCTTTCCATTCAACTCTGTATACAAAACCAGCTTATCACCAGAGAATTGCAGTCTAACCATAAGTCCTTGCTTTGGTTCTGTTCATTCTCTTTCTCTTCTCCTCCTCTTCCTCCTCATTTCCCTTGCCATCTTGATCTCCTTGGGCCACACTATACATTTTATCAGGATCCTTTTATTTTGCTTTTTGAATATTACTAATAAATGACAAAATCGCTCAGATCCGGGGGGATTTGGACTCTGACTGGGTAGATCAGGGCAGGGTGACGAGGAATAGTCTTGAGAATGTTACCTGGGAGGAGTTTGATGCTGTGACTCCGGATGATGTGGACAGGATTTTGGGGAGACTTAGTGCGGCCACATGTTTACTGGACCAGTGTCCCTCCTGGTTGGTACTGGCCTCCCGGGAGGTTACACGAGGCTGGCTCCAGGGTGTTATCAACGCTTCGTTGAGTGAGGGTCACTTCCCCGCCGCCTTGAAAGAAGCGGTGGTGAGGCCTCTCCTCAAGAACCCGTCCCTGGATCCGGCAATATTGGCCAACTATCGTCCTGTCTCCAACCTTCGCTTCCTGGCGAAGGTTGTTGAGAGTGTGGTTGCGCGACAGTTTCCACAATTCTTGGAGGAAACATTCTATCTAGATCCGTTCCAGTCGGGTTTCAGGCCTGGACACAGCACGGAAACGGCATTGGTCGCGTTGGTTGATGATCTCTGGAGGGCTCGGGACAGGGGTTGTTCCTCTGTTCTGGTCCTGTTAGACCTCTCAGCGGCTTTTGATACCATCGACCATGGTATCATGCTGCACCGGTTGGAAGAGTTGGGGATGGGGGGCACCGTATTATGGTGGTTCTCCTCCTTTCTCTCCGACCGGTCACAGTTCGTGTTGGCAGGGGGGCAGAGGTCGACCTCAAGGCCTCTTATATGTGGAGTGCCTCAGGGGTCGGTCCTCTCGCCCCTCCTGTTCAACATTTATGTGAAGCCGCTGGGCGAGATCATCCGTGGCTTTGGGGTGAGATACCACCAGTACGCTGATGACACCCAGCTGTACATCTCCACACCAGGCCACCCCAACGATGCCCTTGAAGTGATGTCCCAGTGCCTGGAGGCTGTGTGGATCTGGATGGGGAGGAACAGGCTCAGGCTCAACCCTTCCAAGACTGAGTGGCTGTGGCTCCCGGCATCCCGATATAGTCAGTTGACTCCATCACTGACTATTGGGGGCGAGTCGTTGGCCCCCACAGAGAGGGCTCGCAATCTGGGAGTCCTCCTGGATAGGCAGCTGTCCTTGGAGGAACATCTGACGGCTGTAACCAGGGGGACCTTTTGTCAGGTTCGCCTGATCCGCCAGTTGCGGCCCTTTCTTGATTGGGATTCCCTGTGCACAGTCACTCATGCCCTCGTCACCTCTCGCCTTGACTACTGCAACGCTCTCTACATGGGGCTCCCCTTAAGGAGCACCCAGAGGCTCCAACTGGTCCAGAATGCAGCAGCGCGGGTAGTGACGGGAGCAGCCTGACGCTCCCATGTAACACCGCTCCTGCGCGAGCTGCACTGGCTCCCAGTGGTCTTCCGGGTGCGCTTCAAGGTGTTGGTTATCACCTTTAAAGCGCTCCATGGCATAGGGCCTAGCTATCTTCGAGACCGCCTGCTGCCACCGACGATCTCCCATCGACCCGTGCGCTCCCACAGAGAGGGCCTCCTCGGGGTGCCATCAGCCAAACAGTGCAGGCTGGTGACCCCCAGGGGGAGGGCCTTCTCTGTGGGGGCACCTACCCTCTGGAATCAATTGCCTCCAGAGATAAGGAGAATCCAAGACCTCGGTGCCTTCCGCCGTGCCCTTAAAACCTTCCTTTTCCAACAAGCCGGGCTGGCCTAATTTTTTAAGTGTTTTTAAGTGTTTTGTTTATTGTTTTTAATTAATGGGGCCAAATTTATATATGTATATTTTAACTGTATTTTAATATTTGTATTTGATGTTTTTACTTGGCTGTTCACCGCCCTGAGTCCTCAGGGAGAAGGGCGGTATACAAATTCAAAAATAAATAAATAAATAAATAAATAAATAAATAAATATATATACACACACACACACACACACACACACACACACACACACACACCTTGCTGGCAATGTACTAACAAAGGAAAAATCAATTATCATCTTATCAATTATAATTTTTTAATGAAATTTAAAAAATCTCATGGTTCTAGGTGACTGTTGACTCTTGTATTATGTACTTCATAATGCAAGATATCTGAGAGGTCATATAAGGAAGATGGGTATCTGTTTAGACCAGAGGTGTCAAACTCAAGGCCCAGGGGCCTGATCCGTCCCATGGGGTGCTTAGATCTGGCTCGTGGAGCCACCCTGGAAACAGCGAAGACCAGCCCACAGTGCCTCTGCCAGTGAAACTGGAGCTTGGAAGGGCTGCGTACAGCCCTCCCGAGCTCTGTTTTCACTGGCAGAGGATTGCAGGAGGCTATTGCAGCCGAAATGGAGCTCGTGAGTGCCAGAGGCAGTACTCCCAAGCTCCATTTTCACTGTCAGAGGGTTGCAGGAGGCCATCACAATCGAAAACGGAGTTTGGAAGCCTGTTTTCGCTGGAAGAGCGCTCAGGCCACAAGAGGCACCCTGACATGAGTGATGTCGAGCTGACCACACCCATCCTGACCACACCCACCCTGGCCCTCCAAAGTCAAACACACCCCTTATGTGGCCCTCAATGAAATCGAGTTTGACACTTCTGGTCTAAACTAACAAATTAGAAAAATATTCTGGAATGTACTGTGGATAGTTGGATTGTTTTTAAGTACGTGTTATGGTCTTCCTCTTTGGGAGAGTTAAAAGTTGAAGAGAAGAACATAGAAATGAATTGATAAATAAGGCAAATCAAAAAATAATAAGATAGGGAGGAACTGGAGCTCAAAATCTTTTTAAAAATATAGGGAAGAAAGGGATAAATAAAAGTAACATAATAGTACTTACTAACATAATAGTAAGCAAGTAAAATAAATAACAAGGTATAAAAACAAGCACAAAAAGATGGGTAAGGTAGGGTAGGGTAGGGTAGGGTTGGGTTGGGCTGGGTTGGGTTGGGTTGGATGGGTGGGTTGGATTGAATTGGATTGGATTGGATTCTTTATTGGCCAAGTGTGATTGGACACACAAGGAATTTGTCTTTGGTGCATATGTTCTCAGCGTACATAAAAAGACAAGATACACTCATCAAGAATCACAATGGACAACACCCAGTGACAGTCATACAGTACAATAAGCAATCAAATCATACTAGGAGACAATATCAGTATAAATCGCAAGGATATAAGCAACAAAGTTCGAGTCATGCAGTCACAAAAGGATAGAAAAAAAGAAGATACAAAACTTGTTACCCTTAAAAGAACCAGCAAAAAGAAACAAACTCATGGAAGAGGTGACTGTTGTGGCCCATCAGCGGCCTGTGCAGCTAGTAGCTGATTCTGACAGCGAGGAGGCTGGTGTGGTGCTGCGCAAGCAGCCTGTGCAGCTGGCACTCAAGTCAGACAATGAAGAGGCTGGAGAAGATGTGGTGCCACTTCTCGATGCACGGGCGCGCAGTGCTGCCTAAAGGCAGGAGTGGCTCCTCAGGAAGAGGTCTCCTTGAGAGTAAGGCTTGGGGCTAATTGGCCACTCCCTTAGCCTATTTAAGGAAGGACAATGATTGAGGCAATTTGCAGGGAACAACTTCGTTCACTCTCCTTTGCGTCTTGATCTTAGTTCTCTTATCAGTTTCCTACAAATTGCTTCTGGGCTTTCTGCCAACCATAGTAAGATTACGATTATTTATTCTTTGGATTCTTGTAGGCTGTTAAGAAAGTTAATTAATAACCTTTGTTTGAAAAAGACTGATTTCATTTAGTAAACTAAGGTTTGTACAGACTTTGTTTGTGCTGCATTCTTTGGGGTCCGTAGCTGGGGCAGAACAGTTTGTTCCCTGCCTGAAAACACAAACACAAACCTTGATTACGATGGAGCAGCTGAGGGAAGAGAATGCGCAGCTTCGGCAGCAGTTAGCTATGATGGCTGGCCAGCTGGCTCAGCTTCAAGCCCAAATGGCTTCATCTTCTCCTCCTCCTCCTCCTCCTCCTCCTCCTCCTCCTCCTCCTCCTCCTTGGACAAACTGCCCGGTAGCATGTGGAAATGTTCCCGGCTTTCCTTGGACAATGCAATTTATTCATGAGTTTGCGAGTGGAGGATTTTCCCAATGACTGAGATAAAGTTGGATTCATTATCAGCCTGCTCTCCAGTTCTACAGCTCATTGGGCCACGCCTCTGTTGGTCCAGAACAGTCCGTTGCTTAATGACTTTGGGGGGTTTTGTGAGCACTTGCGGCAAATGTACGAGGACCCTATCAAAGCACAAACATCCACCAGACAGTTGAAGTCCTTGAAGCAAGGCCGGCTACACCTACAGGAATACATTAGCAAATTCCGTTCACTAAACCAGGACTCGGCCTGGAACGAGGCAACACTTTTGGATGTTTTCCAGGAGGGTTTGTCTGAGGGGTTACAGGATGAATTGGCTAGAGTGGACATTCCTCCGACTCTTAATGAGCTGGTTCGTCTGTGTCTCAGAATTGATGCGAGGTTACAGTG